TGTTGCTGTGGTGATCTTAGCTTGGTCAAGCAACACGAATCCTGTGGAGGGCTTAGCGTTTTCCGCATTAGTTTCTTTCCCTTCCCTCCAGTCTTCTGTGTCCTGAGAACTGTTCTCTGAAGGAAGACTGGAGGCCCTGTGTCCTTCTTCTGTTTCTTCTATAGGCCTTGAAAACCCCTCCTCCACGTATTTACTGACTCTCAATTTTTAAACCTTTACACAGATATGATAATTGTCATGTGGCTCCCCAAGGGCTTAAAATTCAAATTTCCTTTATAAAAAGATTTTCAGATTGGCTTGGTCAAAGGAATAAGATCAAGGATTTGCTTTGGCCAAAATCTGCTATATAATATTAATTTTCCGCTTGTGCTTAGTGTGAGGAATGTTTCTAACTGGGGTTGCTCCTTGACAGTTGAGAGTTACCTTAGCTGCTTGTGGGAGCAACTTCTCCCCCTGTTCCCAGTTTGGCTTTGGATGGAGAGATGGAATGGGTGGGTGTGGCATATATGCATTCCTGAGAAAGCTAATGAGATCCAGCGTTATAGCAAGTAGAGCTCTTTAGGGAAGACAAACATAGGCCTGAGAGAATATCAGAGGGCAATAACCATGACAGTAGGTGTATAAGGAAAAGGCAAGAGAGATGGAATAGCAGAATCTTAACATTAAGGTTTGCAGAAGGGATTGATGCAATCTAGCCTAGAACGTCAAAGGAAAGGACATTTATTTGTGGATAATCCTTGATGTCACAGACTAGACAAAGAGATAATTTTACAACAGATATGATAGAATTTATTCCCCCCCTCAGTCCACACCTCCTTTTGAGAGAACTCGGCCAGAGGAGAATGACCTAGGTATAGACATGAGCTAATTACACTCTCCTTTTTGGAATTTGGAGTTAGGTACAGAGACTATGTTGATAAATGATGGGTGATTGAGCTAGAAGGTAATACACACAAATAAATATTACTTCTTAAGAATTTTTATTAAAAAAATTTTTGTTGATGTGCAGTTAATTTACAATGTGGTGGTAGTTTCAGGTGTGTAGCAAAGTGAGTCAGTTACACATATGCATCTATTCACTCTTTTCTTGATTCCTTTCCCATATAGGCCATTACAGAGTATTGAATAGAATTCCCTGTGCTGTATAGTAGGTCCTTATTAGTTATCTATTTTATATATAGTAGTGTGTATCTATCAATCCCTTCTCTTTGTTTATAAGAGACACCATGGGATAATATCATGGTAAATAAAACACGTAATTTGGATGGATGAAAATGCTGAACTGGGAAAAGAAATTCATACCCTGAATGAAATTTTATTCTAGTGAAGACAACTGCTGCTCCCCACCATGATAGGATAGATCCTGTATAATTAATTGACTAGCGAGTGGTTGATGGCATATGATGCCATGCCACGGGAGATTGGATGCAGCAGAGACAGTGGGCAGATCAGTCTTGGTGAGGAAAGGCTCTTGCATAATCCACAGTGTGTAAAGTGATTAGCCTCCAATTAAAATAAATTAATTTAAAAAAAGAAGGAAAAAAAAAAGTCATGTTTATTTAAAGTAGAATCTACGTTCAGTAAAACGCCAAAACTTGACAAATGCAGTTACCATCATGGTCAAAGGGTAGAACAGTCTTCAGTCGCTCCACCCGAAACCCTGTGCACTGAACGCTTCCCCGATCCTTAAAAATCCACTGATCTGTTTCCTGTCAAGGGGGTCAAATTTAGTCATCAAATGGTCTAGTAAAGAAAAGACTGCAAGCAGAAAAACCCAAATTTTTAACAGCATACTTTGAAACGTACATTTAGAACATTCTTTTGAATATTCTTTTACAATGAGATTTGAAAATAACTTTTGTCAATTAAAGCAGCTGACAAGTTGTCTTAAGATAGTTGTAGAAAAGCTAGTCTAGTTACTGGGTCTGGGGCTGGTTGATAGAAAACCCATTTTAAATAATGGAATTGAATTCTTTCTTTTCCCAAACTTTAAATTTTTTTATTTTGTATTGGAGTACAGCTGATTGGAATGGAAAAAGCAGATATGTGTGCTTTTTTGTTTGTTTTTTCTTTTTTAGCTATGCCATGTGTCTTGCATGATCTTCGTTCCCCAAACAGGGATTGAACCCTGGGCCACGGCAGTGAGATTGTCAAGCCCTAACCTCTGGACCATCATGGAATTCCTGAGATATCTGTTCTTACAGATATCAGTATTTGGTACCTTTCTGAAAGTTCACACCTGCTACCACCATGAAAGGCACAAAGAAAGTAAAACCTCTATTTTGTATATCTCAATTGTCACATGTTCAAATACACCTAATTTCCATGAAAAGTTGCTTCCAAGCACCATAATTCTGTCTTTCAAACATCAACTCTGCAGTTTTTCAGCATCTTGAACTGAGTGGAGTTGTGCTCCGTGGATGAAAAGCTGATCCCTCTTAAAGAGGATAATAGAAGATCCATGTTGTTCAGAAGAGATATGAATGTGGAAAGGAGAAGCTTCTTTAGAGAGGTCAGGAGCCATAGGTGGGATAATATAGGCTTTTGCATGCTTTCAACTTCCTAAAGACATTCACCTACTAAAGGCTTCTAATGAAAGCTTGTTGAGAGTTTGGAGAAAGCCAAAATCCAAGGCTACTTAAAATACTTAGAAACACTTAGAAGAGTGGACTTTAGTTAGAGTGGGTAGAAGGTTGTACTACTCAGAAATTCAGCAGTTGGACTCTCGCATCAGACATATTTAGTATTTAATTCTAACACAGGCACTCAGCTGTGTGACCCTGCACAACTTATTTCAGCTTTTTAATCTTTCATTCCCTTATTTGTAAAATAGAGAGGAATTTTCAGGCAGATCTAAGTCATCCACATGAGGCATGTCTTGCTAATTCATTGCTCTCGGTATGTAAATTCTCAAAGGTTTGAGGTTCTTCACTTACAAAGATTCAGTTCTGGGCTCCCTCATTCATTTGTTCACCCATCCACCCATCTACTCGTCCATTATTCATTTATCCATTCAACAATGAATTATTGAACACCTATCACTGGTTGATATTGTAGATGGAACTGTGATCAAAAATATTAACTCTGAATTTTGCAATCTTACAGACAAGAGGAGAATGTAGTTTAATATAACCATTTTTGTGATGTATACTGTGATATACTGTGTACTGTGAAAGCATAGATACTAGTAGTGAGAAATGATAGGGTATACAACTTGGAGGTTGTTTTTATTTTCATTTCTCCACTCTTGACATTCCATTTTACAATTCCTAACTTTTTAGCTTTTACCAGGCAGTATCCCACTACAGTTAGACTTCCTGTCCCATCCTCAAATTCCACATTTTTGAAGATGGTTATGATCAATAAGAATGCCCTAATTGTCATAATGTCATTCTGCATATAAATTGGTTTCTGCATTCACATTGCCAACTATCTATATTTCTATATCTATATTGACTTCTTTTTTTATTTTAAAGATTTTATTTTTGGCTGTGCTGGGTCCTTATTGCTGCTCAGGCTTTCTCTAGTTATTGAAAGCGGGGGCTACTCTTCGCTGTGGCGGCTTCTTCTGCCGCAGAGCCCTGGGTCCGGGCAAGTGGCTCAGTAGTTGCGGCGCATGGGTTTAGTTCCTCAGCGGCATGTGGATATTCCTGGCCCAGGGGTTAAAACTTTGTCCGCTGCATTGGCAGGTGGATTCTAACCACTGGACCACCAGGGAGCCCTCTATTGACTTCTTATCATCTCCTCTGCCTCTTCGGCTCACCTTCTTCTATTCATGACACCCTCAATTTTCACATCAATTTCTATTTCAATAGCTATGGATTGCTAAATCTTTGTGATTCCATGGACTGTAACCTGCCAGGTTCCTCTGTTCATGGAATTCTTCAGGCAAGAATACTGGAGTGGGTAGCTCTTCCCTTCTCTAGGGGATCTTCCTTACCCAGGGAAGATCTTCCTGAACTCCTGTCTCCTACATTGCAGGTGAATTTTTTACCATCTGAGCCAAAACCTTGTCCCAAATCCAAATGACTTGCCATTATGAGCACTTAATTTACTTAAAATGGGATTTAACTTAATTCAAAACTAAAATATATTATCTCCTCAACTCTCTCCTTATCCTTTTTATTTCACTGAAATGAATGACAACGTTTACTCAATCTTGTAGGACTGAAATTTGGCATTCCTACCAACAATATTCTTTCTACCCAAGTTTCTTCCTCTTATTTTTACTGCTTGACCTATTCCTACTTGGTAAGACTGAGTTTAAATGGCACTCCCTCTGAAAACATTTATTGACTCATTAATTCAGGTTGAACTGCTTTTTCATTGATAAAGCCTAATCGTTTCTTTGTATGAACACTTACAGGTTATAATTTATTTATTTTCCAGTCTTTCTCACTGGCCTGAAGTTTAACTGTATGTTGGAAGCCTAGTAATTGGCAGAGAGTTTGGTACATGGTAAGGACTCATCCATTAGGGCTTTAATTCTGAAATTCTTTAAGATGCACGAGCTTCCGGACTGTATCCTTGAAGGCTTGTTTTACTTGCTGATTCCTTAGGGTGTAAATGAAGGGATTCAACAAAGGTGCAGCTGAGGTACTGAGTAGAGCCACTCCCTTGTTGAACATGTCCACTTCTTTTGCTGTGGGCTTAACATAAATGAAGAAGCAGCTTCCGTAAGAGAGAGAAATGACAATCAAGTGGGAAGAACAAGTGGAAAAGGCTTTTGTTCTTTGATGGGCAGAGGGAAGTTTCAGAATAGTCCTGATGATGAATGTGTAGGAGAGAATAACTAGTACCAGAGTGACCACCAGGGTCACCGATGCCACAAGAAAGACAACCTTCTCTATGAGGTTTGTGTCTGAACAGGAGAGTTCCCGAAGGGGCTCATAGTCACAGAAATAATGATTCAGCCTATTGGATTCACAAAAGTCCTGCTGAGTCATCAGAGTGATTGGTGGTATAATAACCATTAACCCAGCCAGCCAAGAGCAGACAACAAGTTGGGTGCAGACTTTGCTGCTCATGGTGGTTGTGTAATGCAAGGGTTTGCATATGGCCACATAGCGGTCGTAGGACATGGCAGCCAGAAGATAAAACTCTGTGGCCCCCAGGAATATGGCAAAGAAATATTGAGCAAAGCAGCCAGCAAAGCTGATACTCTTGTTCCCTGTTGTGATGCTGAACAGGACCCTGGGAATGAAGATGCTTGTGAAGGAAATTTCTAAGAAGGAGAAGTTTCGGAGAAAGAAATACATGGGGGTCTGAAGATGGGAGTCCAGCGAGGTGAGGATGAGGATTGTCAGATTTCCAATGATGCTGAGTAAATAGGTGAGGAACAGAAAGATGAAAACCATCACCTGGAGTTCAGGGACATCTGTTAGACCCAGCAGGATGAACTCAGTCAACACAGTTTTATTTTTCATTGCTAAAAAAGTTTATCTCAAGGTAGAAAAGTGATAGTAATGAAAGGTGAAAAAGGAAGAGGAGCTCTGAAATGGCGAGACGGAATCTGAAAAAACAAAGGAGATGAACTTTTCCTCTGATAATATGACCCAGCCCAGTGGCCCAGCTGAATGTTGCTGGGTCCTTGCCAGTCTATTTTGCCCTGCATAGAAAAGTTATCATTATTTTCCCACATGGTATTCTCCCCAGTGCCAATATGAAATAAATATATGCCTTATAGATGATGTTTAAATAGCTTTTGGAATGAGTTATTAAAGGAATGCTTCCAGCAGCTGCCTCCTTCTAGACTAGTTCGTAATTTTCTTTCTTCTATATTCTCATTTCTTTCTTCCCACTGATTCCATGTATTGCTCTATGTCATTTGTCTAACTTTTCTCAGACTAGCTGTTTTTCTTACTCTCCCCTGCCATTTTTGCTTTTATTTTTTCATGTGACTATAGCAGTCTCTCATTTTCCTTCTTGTTCAACTCCCTTTGATTCCCTTGACGTCAAAAAGTACCAGCTCCTCACTTCTTCCCAGTGGACCCTCCATGCTTCTTTCCTTGCCTGTCCATTAGAATTCAAAGTTCTCTGTATTAGGATTATGTCATTCTGTTCTTTAAACCATTCCATATACCTGTCTAGGATTCAGTAAATATTCAGTTCAGTTCAGTTCAGTTGCTCAGTCATGTCCGACTCTTTGCGACTCCATGAACCGCAGCACGCCTGGCCTCCCTGTCCACAACCAGCTCCCAGACTTTACCCAAACTCATGTCCATTGAGTCGGTGTTAAATTAGAATAAAAATTTGCATTTACTTACATAAGCACATTCAGAATATTTAGAGTTTTGCTTCCCCATAAGGACAAGGAAATTTTATTACTTTTTAAGGAAAATTTAGGAGCTTAAAAATATTTAAAGTAGGATTTCTAAACAATTCTAGATTGAATTTGCCATGTCTATGAATCCACTAAATCATGTATAAAGCATTTTGGGCTCGTGAGAATGGAAATTTTATGGGGAAAGTATATAAAAACTATGATTCAAGGTTTTCTAGGAGACTTCATGTTTAAGCACTTTAAAAATCATTTCAAATCTCTACTGATTTGTGAGCTCATGTTATTAAAGAATCACATTATATGAAAATGCCCTTATTGATTTATAATTTTTTCCTATATGTTGTTTTATATGGCAGCCATTTTCAAGCATTTTGGGAGTATTCTACACTTAAGTAATTTTCTGGTAAACACGTATATATCTAACATAAATAAAAGTTTTATGGAACACTCCTTACTTACTGCATGTGATACAACCAGGTATTTTTTATTTTATTTTATTCTATGAATTATTTTTCAAATGCTGATTGAAATGCATTAAATTGATTCCATAAACCACTAGTGGGTTGCAGTTCACAGTAGGAATCAGAGATCAAGTAAAGTTGCACAATGCTCAGGATGCCCTTGCCCTCCAGGTTACCAACCTGAAAGCTTCAGGGAAAGGTTGAGCAGTCATGTCTGTTTCACTTTTCCCAGTCACAGAGAAGTGAAGTCGATGTAGTGGTGAACAAAGAATGTTCTTCCTCACTTGGCTATCCAAATGGCTTATAGTGGCATTTTAGTCCTAGATGTTCTTAGAGGTGCGTGAAAATTGTAAGGCTGTGCCATTACAAAATGATATAAAATGTATTACATTTTCTACATTATCAGCCACCAAGTCCTATCCTGCATTTCACAGGAATAATAAAAACTTCCAGGGGCTTCTTTAGTAAGAAATAGTCTTTTCCTGCCCCTTATCAGGTAAACAGGGACTTGCCCATTTCTGTTTTTCCAATAATTCAGATTGGAGCTGAATCAGAGTTTTTGGATGTCCTCTTAAAAGTGAAGTGGATATAGGAGGTTAAAAGAAGGACTTTGAGGAGCAGAGTAGTCCTGGGTTTTTCTGTCCTAGGAAAAATGAGGTTGATGATCTCAGAAGACAGAATATAAACTCCACCTCCCAATCCAGGTTATACTTAACCCAAAGTGACACAGGTTATATCTGTTCTATTGAGAGCATGCACTGGGGAATTAATTGAGTGAAGAGGCATAAGTTGCCCTGGGGATTCTTGTTGGAGCAGGCTAAAGACTGTCCTCTGTTGACAACTCTGAGAACAAACTTTAAGCATATGGCTAATGGATGAGGCTCCAGAGAGACTAGCTTGGAGGTGAGGTGGGGTGGGGCTGCCATAGCAATAAGAGCATGAGCTGCAGGGAAGAGGGAGGCTATAGAGTCATGGCATTTGCCTTCCCCACTGGGTGGGCATAGCTGGACTTGGCCATGGACAAACAGCCTAGTTGGAACCATTTGAAGGTCATGAATGTCCTGAAAACTCACACTTGCTAAGCACTGTTAGCCTGGTTATAATTAGCCTAGTTATAGACACTACTGGCTAAAGACAAAGCAGTAAGTTTCATTTTTTGGAGTGTATGCATAAACCAAATATAAAATAGATAAAAATGGAGTGCTCAGACTGAGAGAGAGCAGAGCCCACATTGACCTGTGGGTTGCTTCTGAGGACACACTCGCAAATGTCCAGTTTAAGGAGAGGAACTTGGGAAAATACGTATATGTTACCTGGGAGGGCTAAACCTTTGCCACCCACAGACACCTTCATAGCAGTTAATTCATCAGATTAATCACCTATTTAATATCAGTATAGTACAAACACCAGAAAAAACAAAGGTAGACTTGGGAACAAAATGCCAGAATTAGGGACAAATTACCTATTACACACATGTCTTACACATGGCTGCTCCTCTTAGGGTGTGTACAATTCTCACAAAAATGCGGGGCCCAGAGAAGGAATGTGGTCTCACCAACTCTAATACAATAATCAGCTCGATCTTGATTATTAATAATCAACACAAGAAACTTCATTCTCTGATTCTCACTTTCCTCTGCTGTAAAATGGGGATCATAAAGCCCATTAAATATGATGATCATTGTTAAGTATCCGTTACATAGTATTTGTTCAGTCCCTAAGTTGTGTCTGACTCTTTGCAACCCCATGGACTGCAGCACACCAGGCTCCCCTGTCCTTCATTATCTCCCAGAGTCTGCTCAAACTCATGTCCATTGAGTCTATCCAACCATATTACATAGTGACGCTATCCAACCATATTACATAGTATGTCTCACATATGGCCTTCCCTAGTAGCTCAGATGGTAAAGCATCTGTCTGCAATGCAAGAGACCTTGGTTCTATCCCTGGGTGGGGAAGATCCCCTGGAGAAGGAAATGGCAACCCACTCCAGTATTCTTGCCTAGAAAATCCCGTGGACAGAGGAGCCTGATGGGTCACAGTCCGTGGGGTAGTAAAGAGTCAGAAACAACTGAGTGACAACACACACACACACACACGTCTCACGAATATTCCCGTTTTCTTTTCTCTGACGAGGGAATTGCTATATAACTATTTGGCAACAGTTCAGTTACTTCTTTCAAATGTGTTTATAGAGAAGAAAGCCAAAGTTATCATTGGAAACTCATTGGACCTGACAAATTCCAAATACTCTTAGTTTAGAAGGAATCTCTTTCCTAGGGAAGTTTAGGGGAGAATGGATACATGTACATGTATGGCTGAGTCCCTTCTGCTGTTCATCTGAAACTGTTGCAACATTGTTAATTGGCTATACCCCAATACAAAATAAAAAGGTAAAAAAATAAGGAAGGAATCTCTTCCCTAGATGTTCATTCTTAGATAGACAGCAGAGGGAGAGGAAGTTAAATTGAGCGACAGGTTCTAGCTCATCGATGTGTCAGTCGAGGCAGCAGATTGTGCAGGCTTGGGATCTGAGAACAAGAATCAGCATAAAGTAAGACAAGGAGAGCAAGAGGTGGACATCTGCTTGGGAAGTGATCCATGGAGGAAATTATTCGATAATTATTTATTTGGAAAGGCTACACTTCTTTCTTAAGTTTAAGATGTACCTAGATTGTGTGATAAAGAAGGGGTTGAGGTAAATGTGATTGATGGAAGACAGTTATTTTGGAAATGATAACTCTTTTTTTTCAGGAAGCACTTTAATGTCAGAAGTTTCTGTTTGCATGAGAAGCTGTAAGAAGAATCAGTAAAACGTTTGGTCATTTCTAACTTGATGTTGGAATATTTTAGTTTGTAGTGTAACTAAGCATTTAAAGACCTTGAACTTAAAGTGATTAGTGCCTGTATCTTTTTTTTTTCATTTATTTTTATTAGTTGGAGGCTAATTACTTTACAATATTATAGTGGTTTTTGCCATACACTGACATGAATCAGCCATGGATTTACATGTGTTTCCCATCCCGATCCCCCCTCCCGCCTCCCTCCCCATCCCATCCCTCTGGGTCTTCCCAGTGCACCAGCCCTGAGCACTTGTCTCATGCATCCAACCTGGGCCGGTGATCTGTTTCACCCTTGATAGTATACTTGTTTCAATGCTCTTCTCTCAGATCATCCCACCCTCGCCTTCTCCCACAGAGTCTAAAAGTCTGTTCTGTACATCTGTGTCTCTTTTTCTGTTTTGCATATAGGGTTATTGTTACCATCTTTTTAAATTCCATATATATAGTGCCTGTATCTTAAAGAACAGGTCTCAGTAGATAATAAGCTAACCTTTTTATTCATTCAACAAATATTTATTGAGTACTTACCATATCAGTCAGTTAGTTCAGTCGCTCAGTTGTGTCTGACTCTTTGCGACCCCATGGACTGAAGCACGCCAGGCTTCCCTGTCCATTACCAACTCTCTGAGCTTTCTCAAACTCATGTCCATCAAGTCGGTGATGCCATCCAACCATTTCATCCTCTGTCGTCCCCTTCTCCTCCTGCCTTCAATCTTTCCCAGCATCAGGATCTTTTCCAATGAGTCAGTTCTTTGAGTCAGGTGGCCAAAGAATTGGAGCTTCAGCTTCAATACTATGTGGAACTAACATTTTAGGCACTGGATATACAGCTGTCATGG